GTGACAGCACAGGCCACTCAAATCAAGATGTCCCTGGTGACAACACAGTCCTTGGATGTTCTCATGACCTTGGTGGACATCTATGTGGCCTTTGGTGGTAACTTGGGCCATGGACATCAATATAGGCCCTGGCTGTGGTAGGGCACAGACCCAGACATGGTCCTAGGTAGCAACCTGGGTCAGATGTCACCACGGCCTGGTATGGCCCTGCAGTAGCATGGCCCTCTGACTCCAATTTGGCCTCCAAGTGGCAGACCCCCATCCCCACCCTGCAGACTGAGCATTTATGATGACAGTCTAGAAAGTTATGACATTGGTACTCAAGCCACATTTTGAGTTTCAAGTTCTTAAGTTAACCAACCAAGTGGAATTCAACTCCCACAGTGGTGTGGACCGTGTAGAAATCTAAAGGATTGAGTTATGACATTTGGCAGTGTCAGATTTAATCCTTGAGGGAAGGCTGCAAGGAAAACAGAATTAGTAAAACAGGATTTAGAACAGAATTTGTGAGAAGATAACATTTCATTGCTATAGACAGAGATTAGAAATATGAATAACTGCAAAAGTAAGTGATACAAACTAGGGTTTGTGTTGCGTATTGTACCATAGGACTCCTAGGCATGTAAGAGCCCCCCAACACACACACAGACACAGACACACACACATACACACACACACACACACACACACACACACACACACACACAGGGGTTTGGGGGGAAACTCCCAATGACTTTCTTTTTTTATCATTTTTTATTTTAATTTTAAATAGCTTGTTTTACATGCCAATCCCAGTTCCCTCTCCCTCCCCTCCTCCCGCACTCCCCTTCCCCCCCACCCTCCCACCCTATTGCCAAATCCTTCCACATAGGGGATATCTAGAGTCTGTCATTTTACTCTGGGTAGGGTCCAGACACTCCCCTAAGAGTCCAGGCTGAGAGAGCATCCCTCTTTGTGCTATAGGCACATGAAGACTGTTTGTATACCAGGGATAGACACTGATCCACAGCTCAGGGCCCCATAGGTTGCCCAGGCCTTCTCGCTGACACTCACATTTGGGGGATCCAGATCAGTCCCATGCTGGCCTCCCCACTGTCAGTCTGGGGTCCAAGAGCTCTCCCCTGTTCAGATCAGCTGTCTCTGCTGGTTTTGCCAGCCCATTCTTTGCCAATTTGCTCATCACTCCTCTCTCTCTGTCACTGGGTTCCTTGGGTTCAGTTCAGTGATTAATTGTGTGTTTGCCTCTGCTTCCATCAGTCACAGGATAAAGGCTCCCGGATGGTTATAGACATCGAGTTCATTATCAGGAATGGGCATTCGAGGTGGTCTCTCCACTATTGATTAGCTTGCCAATTGGTGTTATCCCTTTAGATCACTCGAGGTCGCTCTGGTGCCTGATCTGTATTCGATCCTATGACGCGCCCGATCTCGTCCCAATGACTCTCTTCTGGCTAACACTATCCTGAACCATACTGTATAATCATTGAGAAATTTAAAGCTTTTTTTTTTTAGATGAGTTCTCACTATGTGGTCCTGGTTGATTTAGAATTCTCTGTATAGACCAGGATGGCTCTGAATTCCCGGAAATCTGCCTGCCTCCACTTCTAAGTGCTGAGTTCTGGAGAACACCAGCCTGGAGTTCTCTCTGAAAGTGTGGAAGTTGGAGTCAAGGCAAAACCAATGGGTCTCTGCAATCTTCACTAGTGAAATTTAAATGAATAGATCAAAATTAATCCTTAGACCAATGACTAATTTGGCCTTTTCTGGGAATGATGGAGAAAAATGAACACATGTAGAGAGTGAAAAAGTTGAAAGTATTGCTGAATTTTGACAAACCCAGGAGTTTTCAAGGCAAAAGGAAGGCGATCCCCTCAAGGGCTATTTAAATTTGAGCTCACCAAAGCATATACTAATGTTTTAACAGCTGGAGTGGTTAAGCATCCTTCTGTTTTAACAGTTTTAATAGCCTATGACAAGAGGGCAAGGTTAGACACCCAAAGAGCTCAGCAGCCTCCAGGGCAACACCTGAAGTGAGTAAGAGTCTGTTCTGATGGAATGCAGCAGCAGTTCCTGTAGAACAAGGGTGTTTAATAGACTGTTCTCTGTATTTAAATCAAAGTGGCTTTGCCCTTCACTTAAACTTGACCATCAGTCTGCACACAGCTAGCTCGAAGGGATGGTGCTACAGTGCCGGGACACAGGAAGGAAAGCAGACCGCTGCCTCCTGCCATGCACAGAGCTCCCGACTAGTATGTGGAAGCATCGGGATGCTGTGCTCACACACAAACCACAGGAAGCACACTGGGGATCTGACCACAAAGTGTGATAGAGCTTGGTGGATCATTGTGTCCATTAAGCAGAAGGAGATCTGTAAAAGTGAAAAATTGGATCTGAGTCCTGCTCCCCAATCTGTCCTCTGTGAACTCTGAGGCCTGCCATCCTTGTTTGTCTACAGACTTTCAAGTCTCACTGTGGCTTTTTATTTTTTTATGCAGATCTTAAAAGAAGACAGGATATGAAGACCCTCTTGGGAGCATATCTGTTAGGACAGGGGTAATATGTTCCCCATGTAAGTATGGCATGGAATGCTTAGCCTCAGAGATATGTGTTAAAACTTTAGTTTACCCCACAATCACCTGCACGAATTGTTGATCCACAGATTTCTGACCATGCCTGTCTGATGTCTGTGACCTAGAAGGCCCAGAGAAGGACCCGAGAAGTTGCATCACAAACAAATACATAGACATTGCCTGTGCTGCTCATACTATTAGAGCAACTGTTGTAGAAACTGTGTTCTCAGCCAAGGATGTCCAAATCACCTTTGTTGAGAGAGTTATTCACAAGCTGGTTCTTAAAGGGCTGAAGATTGCAACATGAGAATAGAGAAAGAGATACTAAAAGAGCAATAAATTATTATTAAATGAATTAATAAATTGAATTTATAAGAACAGTTTTCTACCTCCATGTTTATGCAGTCCTTAAAACTCCAAAAACAACAAACATGGCATGTACTCACTCATATGGATTTTAGACATGGAGCAGGGGAGTGCCAGCCTACAATCCACACTGCCAGAGAGTCTGGGAAACAGGGAGGACCCTAAGAGAAACATACATGGTACCCCAGAGAAGGGGAAGGGGACAGGATCTCCTGAGCAAATTGGGAGCATGGCGGGAGGGGAGAGGGAGCTGGGAGAAGGAGAGGGGGAGAAGAGGAGGAGAGAGGAGGAAATGGTGGAGCAGGAAGTTTGAGTCAGGTAAGAATAGAGGAGAGCAGGATGAGAGATACCATAATAGAGGGGGCCATTATAAATTTGAGGAGAGATCCACTAGGGAAATTTCCAGAGATCTACAATGTTGACCCCAACTAACAATCTAAGAAATAGTAGAGAGGCTACCTTAAATGCCCTTACCCTATAATGAGATTGATAACTACCTTATATGCCATCCTAGAACCTTCATCCAGTGGCTGATTGAAGCAGAGGTACACACCCACAGCTAAACACTGAACTGAATCCCAGAACCCAGTTGCAGAGAGGGAGGAGTGATAGGCATGTGGGTCAAGACCATGCTGGTAAAGCCCACAGAAGCCACTGACCTGAACAAGGGGGGAGCTCATGGACCCCAGACAGATGGCTAAGAGGCCAGCATGGGACAGATTCAGACCCCCTGAGTGTGGATGTCAGTGAGGAGGCCTTGGCAATCTATGGGGCCTCTGGTAGTGAATCAGTATTTATCCCTGGTGCATGAATGGACTTTGGGAGGCCATTCCACTTGGAGGGATGTGCACTTGTCCTGAACATGGGGGAGGGCCTGGGCCCTGCCCAGGATCCCACAGAGTGCCTCACCCTCCCTGGGGAACCAAGGGAAGATGGGATGGGGGGGTTGGCTGGAGGGGGGTGGGAGAGGAGGGGAGGGAGAGGGAACTGGGATTGACATCAGAAGCAGGCTTGTTTTTTATTTAAAAAAATAAAAAAAAAACAAAAACTGAGGAGATAAACACATTCCTCACATGAAGAAAAAACAAACAAACAAACAAACTTTTAGAGGAATTCCACCAGGTTCAAAAATTGAAGTAACCATAATTTGCTTTTTTTCCTCTCTTCTGGTTTATACCACAATGGCAGTTTCTGCCAGACAGAAAGTTTTCTCTGAGAGGCTAGTCAGTACACACACACACACACACACACACACACACACACACACACACACACACCAGGAAAGCCATGGCACAGACAGCAATAGTAGTAGGTGGCTATCTTCAGCTGAAACAGCTCAGGACTTTAAAAAGAGTAGAGAAAGAACAATTCGTAGTGGTTAAATCAGCTCAAATCTGTTTCAGGAGCTCCCTCAACAGGTAACCATGCCCAAGGTGCCATTGCCATTTCCCCTAGTAAATGTTTCAACTTTACAGATCCTTAAACTGCTATAAACATTTTTGCATCTTCTATATCTACTTAGAACAGACCAAATTGTGGGTAAACTGGGCTTCTGAGAAGAACGAGTCCCTTTCCTACAAGTATCCACAGTGGGGGAAGCCACAAGGGAAGAAAGAGGTACAGAGAGCTGAGGAATATGAGCCCCATGTCTATCAGGATCAGGCCATTGATGCTTGATTCAATTCACTCATATTCCAGAGAATACGTTCTTGCTTCTTTGCGTCCTAAAATTCCACTCTGCCTGCTTGGCTTATAACTGTGTCCCATTTGAATGCTTCCTTTTCAGAAACACAAGAACAAAAACTGCTGCTGGAGTCAAGGCTGGAGGAAACTTGAGACCTCCCTGACATCTCCATGCAACAAAATGCCACTGGCTTCTTGAGCCAACACCATAGAAGACATGTAGGAAGGGTTCTTCTTGTAAAATGTCTGATGTTGTCTTGAGATCCCAAGGTAACAGAAGGAGGAGTCCTAGCCCAGTCTTCTCTAATGACACAATAGAATAAGCATTTCTACCTGTTTGCTATTACTTAGAATACTTACATCAAAAAAAGACACGGAAACTTTTTAAAAAGAAATTAATTGGAAGTTTATCATTACTTACTACAGACAAGGACAGTGCCAAACATCACTAATTTTTTGAAACAGCAACAGCAAAAGTAATCTGAAAAAAAAATGGCTTATGCAAATGCTATTCAGGGTGCTCTATCTTTTATGTTCACTTTTTCCATCATGTTGAGTGTGAAATCCAGGGTCTTGCAAGTCGTTAACATTAAACAATATGCAGAGTCCATTCTGTTCATTTGCTTGCTTATCAGTGCATGCATCAAGCAGAAAGGGTGATACATCATTGGTATCACATTGAACACAGAGTGGACTCATTCACAAATTACACCTATCAGAAGGGTCTTCGTTAATAGTAGAGAGGTATAAACGTCTATCCTCACACCATTCTGAGACAGGCCGCACATCAATTACAGTTTAGATTAACTTCTCTTTCAACATCTCTTCTGATTCCCTTCCAAGTCCAGTAAACACCAAAACTCCTCAGTCACAAAATACATCAGCAAGAGTGTGGCTCCATCGAGCCCTGATAACCTTTCTCACAGCAAGAATAATAGAACATGACTTTCTTGGGCCGCCTCCATCCATTTCTATTAAATTTATCCTCCAGAGCTGTCAAGGCGCTCATATTTCCTTCTTCCTGTAGAGAGTGCCCGTGGATTGGGGGCAGTGGGGAAGAGTGAAAAACATGGGATAAGCATAGAATGTAAGAACAATGGGCTCTCCAGTCTGAGAGGGACTGGGGTGGGGGATGGGCAGGGAAAGCAAGGGCAACAAATCCTCTATGACCTGCTTGGACCAGTCCACAATCACAGACACTTCACTTAATCTCACCAAGGCTATTAGGAGCTGCATTTCCAGGTTGCATCTAGCCGCTGGGAAAGATAACTGCCTTGCAGACTGCAATATACCTTGAGAGAATTAGATTTCTCTAAGCCAAAGATTGAATTCCTCCAGTTTCCCACTTCTTCACGGTAACCAGGGCCTTGTGCACGCAATTTCATTTTCCTTGTGCACAGGGCAGATGACGTCCTGCTAAATCGGCCAGAAGTAGCTAAAGACAGAAACACTGGGTTTTGTGATGCTGTTTGCCGGGCTGCTTGCTTTGTTTACCTACTTCTCCTACAAGACCTGCTTGGAGAAGAAAAAAAAAAGCCTTCATCAGAAAAACTGTGAAACAAAAACACCCTCTTCAGCTTCCAATTCAGGAAAGGGCAGCTTTTACTTTTAACCCTCAACAATTTACCGTGAGACGTTTCCGCTGATTGGCACGGTTTACTGGGTAGAAAGAGCATAGAGAAGGGGAGACATTTGTTATTAGGCCTATAAGCCACCAAATGTCATCTCAAGGTTAAAAAAACCGTATGCAAATCAGGTTTTGCACCTCTATCTGCCGATGGTATGTATGCCCTCTATGAAACTTCAGTTTATTTTCAAGACAGAGTCCTGTTCGCCCTGCTCTGTGCTCCTATAACATTTCTGGCACCTGCACTGCATCATCTGTGACTTTGTATTACAATTACCTGTTTGCGTATCTGTCTCGTCTCCCCTACACTAGGACTTCCTTGGGAGCATGGACTGTATTTTTGCTTTTATCTCCAACCTCTATACAATATTTACATGTGGCTGATGCTCCACCTGGCTGGGCTGAACAAATGGGAAGACCTAAATCAATTTCTCATATATTCCTTCCAGGAATCCCATCAATTTGTTAACAAAAAAAATGCCCTCTCTAAAACTAAATCAAATGTGTTCATGCAGAGAGTGGTAGGGGAAATGAATGTGATAAGGAAAGGTTCCTAATGTATTAACCTTTGTGAGACAAAATAATAAAACAGAGGGTGACATTTGACAGATCAGTAGTGTCAGCTCAGAGGTAGGAAAGTACCCTCTAGCAAATCCTACCACGCTGCTTGAAGCTGAGTATACCTGTCCTCTCCTCTAAACAGGACCAAGATATAGTAGAAGCATATGGGACATGCTGTCTTTGAAGGTCTGGGGATTAGCTTATGAAAAGGAGGTCTTGGGGGTACTGAAGTTGTTCCCTGAATTTAAGAGGTCAAAAAAGAAGAGCACCAACCAAGTCAAGCTCTGCCCCCCTCATCCATATCTCTGTGGGAATCCCTAGATACAATCTGATCTTTACCTCTACTCAGATCACCTATTGCAAGCCTCCAAAACAAAAGGGACCTAAGGGTCCCTCACGTATCACTTCACATATTAGTAAATAAGAACTAGGAGGGAATGCAGCCCTTGTCTTGCATGGCATTCATACAAGGTAACACCTACAAAGTAAAGGTTGACCTTTTGGAGTTTGCCCATCCTATACTAACTGGTTCCTTGTACTTAGTCCCTGTCAGAGCCAACTTTGCTGACATGACTTTCCAATTGGTTATCATCTGCATTTTCTCATTCCTCAACCCTCCTAACCCCCAGCCATTTGAGACACTGTATTCTTCTTACCCTCCAGAGGCTGGTTCATGATCTGTCACTGACTTAAATAGACAAACATCTAAAATATAATACTGTAACACAAATCCCAATTCTCTAGCTCCAAAACTTCCAGAAAAACCAAGAGTTAATGGAACTGTTTCAGATTCCCAAGATCTCCAAGATTTGGTAATGCTCCTATGTGTATATTACTGGTTAAAATAATGGGGCAAAAGCAAAACCTGGAAATCCAGTGTACTGTCAAACAACTGTAGTAATATATAGATCATAGGTCAAAGACATTCAAAAGAAAATAGAGGATTAACAGTGCAGAATAATAATGATATCACTTTTTAAAGCTCTTGTGAATGTGTGCACAGGTTTTTACTGGGGAGTTTCAGGTGTTTTCATTCATTCCTACATTCATTCAGTAAATATTTCTCAAGTGCTCATGTACAATGTTAATTTTCACTTTTAATGTCTCTTTAAGAAACTTAGTTCATAATATGTATTAATATATTGGAGAAAGTAAATCTGAACATTGAATTGCAGAGGCAAATGTATCTTGTGGTTAATCTTCACATTATAGAATGAACTAAGCCTGGATCACATTTGCATTCTGACATATTATAACTGCCCTTTGAGTGCTCCCAGCTTCAATTCCCTCTTCTGGAAATGGAAACTTTGGACACTGAAACCTATATTATTGTGTGGCTTAAATGAAGTAACAAATATAAAGGACTTACACTGATTACTTTCCCTGCTCCTATGATAAAATTCCCTGGCAAAAGCAAGTAAAGAGAGAAAGGATTCAAGGAAATGGGAGTCATGCTGCTCACATTGCATCTGCTCTCAGCAATGGAGACAAGATTGCTGGTGGTTGTTCGAGGCCAGGCTGGACCGATAGCCTCCAAAACAATACAGAGAAATCCTGTCTCGTAAAAACCAAAAAATAAAAAATAAAAAAAAGGTGCTGGTGGTCATCGGATTTTCTTCTTTGTACACGACCCAGCCATCCACTTTTAGAGTGGGCCTAACCACCTTAGTTAAGGTAATCAAAATTATCCCACATAAGCAGGACTAAAGGCTAGTCTCCTCCATGGTTCTAGATTTGGTCAGGCCAAAAGTCACAGCCTTGACCTTTATCAACTTGACAACTCACTGGGCCATAACCTGCCACTCTTGTCTCCATAGATTACTGGAAATCTCAATACAAAACTCATTCAATCCAAATTCAAATGTCCCCACAGTTTTGTTTTGTTTTGTTTTTATTCTAACATTGCTTAAGTTCAAAGACCAAGGCTCATGATAGACTAAGGCAATCTCTTAACTTTGAGCCCCTACTACATCAAAAAAAAATGTTACTATAATGGTGCTTAATAAGCATTCCCATTCCAATATGGAAGACTTAGGACAGCACAAAGAATAATGAATCCAAAGCAAGACCATACAAAACAGGCAAAACAAGAAATTCACAGATCCATGAATAGTGACTAATGATGGAATGATCTAAGTTCCCAAGGAACCCCATCCCTCCAGCTCTGCTACCTGTAACACACACTCTCTCTCTCCCTGCCTCCCTCCATCCACCCATCCCTCCCTCCCTCCTTCTCCTCCCCTCCTCTTTTCCCTCCCCTCTCTCTTTTGTAACACTGCTATCTTCGGCACACATTCATGGTTCTTGTATCTCCAATACACTGAGGTCTCCATTGAAATACACTTTGTCTTAGCTTCACACAACAGCCTGCCTCCCAAAACCCCCTTGCAAGGATACTGAATTTGTCACACATTATACTCAACCTTAATCAACTTCTCACGACAGTAGGGATGCAGCCAGATTATTTGCCAGAACACTGCATAAATGACCCATAACCCAGTTCCTGATAGAGTCCTTGCTATCTTCTGAAACCTCAAGAACTGAACTTCAACTGTCCATATTCCTCTCAGCACTTTTCTCATCCAAGTTCCCTCCAAAATGACCTGTTAAGTTCTGGTTATAGCATTCAAGGACCTTTTTAACCCCAAAGTTCCAAATGCTTATACATTCTACTATAAGCCAGTTCCAGAGACTTGAGAACTATATGGTCAGGCTGATTATGTCAGTGACCACACTTTGGTAGCAATTTTCTATTTCAGCTACTTTTACTGTTACGTTGAGAAAATATCTTAATTAAAGTAACTTACAGGAAAATAGGTTTATTTAGACTCACTGTTAAAGCATACAGTCTGCCATGGCAAGGGGGTCCTAGAAACAGAATCTAGAAGCAATTAGTCACATTACATCTCTAGAAAAATGCAGAGAAATGTGTAAATGCATGTGCTTTTCTTGCTTTCTCATTTTTTATGTAATCCAGGATCTGTGCCATGTGAATGGGGTCACACACTTTTAGTATGTGTCTTCTTACCTACCTAGCTAATCTAACTAATATCTCATAGACATGGCCAAAGGCTAACCTAATCAAATAATCCTTTACAAGCATGGTCAGGAGCTTATCTCTTAGACCATTCTACATTCAGTTGACTACTGATATTAACTATCATAGTATCATATTCTGAGAGTAAAATAAACACATCTACATAGTTGTTATTTGGATAGGAGGATTCTAAAGTAACCTTTTCTACTAAAAGGCATGAGGGGAATAAAATGGTACATTATAATATCTTTTTCATTCCATAGCAACAAAAAATATCTGTAAGTTTGGTGAAGGAAAGAGAAAAAGCAATTGAGAAATTAACACACATAATCAGTTTTTTTTATTATCTTTGTCCCCTCTGAGACCTTATCCCCTCTGAGACCTATACATAATACAGAAAAACCTGGGAAATGGTTAGAATCAGACTTATCAAATGCTCATCATCTAAGTTGTCTACAGATGCTATTTGGATGAAAGTTCATTCAGTAGGCCTCTGATTCAGAATCTCTCCCAATTTCCAATTAATGGCGATGCTACAGGTTCCCAGATTAGTTTTGCAATAGAAAAGGGATATAACTATATATATTTAACACATTGCTAACATGTTCAAACATATATGCAAATGGCTACAAGTATATGAACATATATACTGCATGTTTTATATGCACAATACCCCCCCCAGCAATAAAATAAACTGCTTTCTAAAATTATAAAAATTCTGGTTTTGTAGATCACTATCCTCTGGGGAAAACAGGTAACGTTTTCATGAGATCATCTGTAACTACTTACAAAAGACTGTTAAAACTAGGCCAGCTGACTGTTGATGTTTCTTCATATAAGCAGAATCATTCCCTTCTGTACCTCCCGGTGAGCTTATGTGATTCTGCCCTGATTGCACACAGCTTTTTGTTCTTGGAAAGTGTTTGAGCTCATAGAACAGGAAAGGTTAAGTGAAGAGGAGTCTCCATCTATGCAGCTATGAGGAAGTCACCATCTATGCCAGGATATGCTCTCCGATGATATATGTTCCTATAAAGAAGTCCTCAGCCACACTGTATAAGTAAGCCCAATAAACTCTCTGGTTCTCCAAGCTGGAACAAAGACCAATTTTATTTTTTGCTGATGGACATCTGTTAGAAGGGGATATTTGTTCACACCATGCCAGGGAAAAGAATCCCCACAACAGAAGAGTGGGAGTTTCTTCTTTTGCTTTAGTTTCTTTACCTTAGAAAATGGCTGCCTCAAATTGGTATGCAAGACTTTGTTGACTCCCCAAGGAAGGCCTGA